ATTGCATGAAGACGTTTTCAGTACTCATTCTCTGTGGACTGTGAGTAGAAAATCTTTCTTTTGTAGGATGTTCTTGAAGAGAGAATCTCCCTGGAAGTCCAACTGGAACAACTTCGACCCTTCTCTCACCTTTAAGCCTACTGCCGTTAACTGTGAATTTACTAATTTTGAAAGGGGTATTGGTTTCAAGGCCTATTTAAATATCCATGCATCTAGCTCAGTGCACTCTAGTCTACATTAAATGTTGTGGTTCTGTTTTGTCAATTTGTTCACTTTTGTATTTTAAGTATTTTAATTTCAGTACAGAGAGAAAAAAAAAAAACAAACTACTTTTTCCTTGAATGTGACACTGCCTCTCACATCTTTTTCTGTGGGCATCCATGATCTTTGTTGCACTTGAGTTTGCAGAGTTTGTCGCCAAAATTACCAACTGGAATTTTTTCGTGGTTTTTTTTCTTTTTTCCTGTTGAAACATCTTTGCAGAAGAGGGTTGCTAATCAGTCGATTTTAACCTTTAAGCACATAAACTCTTCATTCACTATGGCATTTATTTTATTGTGCCAGAAAAGAGACAAACTACTAATCTATCATCAGCCAATGTTACTTCCCAAGCTGCCTTTTACAATTGGAAAGTTGTTCACAATTCTGGAAAGCCTGCCTCTTTGCAATTCCCCAGTTTACTCAGGTTGGGAGAGTTCTTGCAGGCTGTTTGCCATATCAACTGGATTGGATTTTGTGATTTTTGTTGCATACATTATAGAGTATGTAACCACAGATTGCCAGGTGTTCACATTTTATCCATTCACGGTCCTGATTCAGCCGCATGTGTAGAAACATGGCACAATTGGTAGTCTGTCAAACAGGTCTTCTTTAGTTCTCCCTTTTGTGAAAAGAGTTGGGTGTAGGTCCTATTAATTGCACATTGTCTAAGCACCACCTGCATGTCTCACACGTTACCTTTTAATAGCAGATCACATCCACCAGTCTTCACTATAACAAATTGTATTGTCAAGTAATGTGTCAATACCTCTATAAACTTCTAATTCCCAGCAAAAAAAAAAATATAAAACAAAAATTGAACAGTTTTGCTTCTTAGGAATTCTGGGGTACCTTCTGTCATCTTGTTTCCAGGCCTTACTTCTCTGGCATATAGACAGGCTTCACTATTAACAGAGTTCCTTGAGTGTATCTTGCTCTTCAGGTTGATGTACTGTATTAGGATTTGTTGTATATTGTACGATACACACATTTTGATCTCATATGTAAATTTGCATTAATTGCTGACTAACAGCAGATATTCTATTTAATGGCTTCTTCTGGCTGTGGGATCATAGATGTATAACTGCATGGATGTATCTCTGCAGAATCAGAACTAGCAATTGTGTGATTTTTACACCAATAAAACAGCACAATATTTTAATTTTGTTGATTCATCTTTACCTGGGAATTGAAACTCATTCAAATAAGGGGGAGGGTTTTATTACAGGTTTGCAGGTAATTTTTTGTAATTTTGTGGCATGTACAAGAAGTGATTGATTGTGATCTTTTCTGGCCATTTTCTTCCCTCATTTTTAGCTGTTGATCAGAAGTGGTTCTCTTGGTAATCTGTGGCTATACTCCTTTTGTATCCTCCTATAAGCAAATTTAATACAAATGTAATTTCTAAGAAGTAAATGTTAGTATTGACTTGGGTCAAATATATTTATAGATCTTTAGGCTTAATATCTGGTTTGATTTGCTCAAAAATTCCTTTAAAAACTGAAGATAAATCATCCTCTGTTAGCAGTCCTTAACATCACTGTCTCACTTGTGTGCATAAATGAAATTCTCTTAACATCAGCTTCCCTTCCAAAAGGATAGGTCAAGTCAGGTTTACCACTGGTTATGCTGTTACAGTGAAAAACAAGTATTTCTCTTTTTGGTTATCATAAACAGACCGGATAATTGTGGTGAATTTTTACTACTATAAGTATTCCAGCATTTTTTCAAATGTCATGGAAGTGTTGCAGATGGATTATATATATAATCCAAGGCAAAATTCTCTGGTATGAAAGGGTGTCACAGCTGCATGAAAGATGGTAATTTCTATTTGCATGTAAAGGGATTAAGAAATGATAGCTAAATGGGCACAAAGTTGACGTATAAATTATATATAAAGTGCAAGGCTTTCACTTCAGAAAACTATATATGAGTAGAGAAATGTGAAGAAAAACCCAGCAAAACAATTTAGGCCCTCAAAGTAAAGTAAAAGAACTTTCAAGTTGATGGACCGATCACTTCTATTATAACTGACAAGTAGCAGGTACAGAGTGGGAAAAAGTTCTTCCCTTTTTTAAAAAGTGGGAAAAGTGAGTCACTGCAGTTAAAGAATGTTGATCTTTTGAACCAACTGTATCTTGTCCATAGTTTATTTTAAAGTTTAAAATACATTTTAAAAATAGCACTATTTTCATATTAATATTTAAGTATTAAGCCTATGTTAATTGCAGCAGGATTCTTAAATCAGAATTTAACATTTTAAGCTTAAATGTAAAAAGCCTTTTACATTCAAATGTTACATGTACATATGAATTTCTGTAACATCCATATCTTCCTGGTAGAATGACAAGTTAGTGTCTCAAGTGAAGAACTTCAGCAGTCTGAACCTTTTTGTGTTTTGCCAACAAGTCTATTTTTAAGAGATTTTGTGGATTACTTTTAATGCATCATTCTGTACATTTTAAACCAGTTTTTCATGATCAGAAGATCTTCTAACTGAAAAACTACTTAATGTCTTAAGAACATCACTGCTAATGATGTTCAGAAGTTACCTCACTTAGTAATGTAACCCAACTTTAATCCCTTATAAAATTCTCTCCCTGTCTTCTCAATTTCTTTGATCTTGTTCCAGCTACTTGATGCATTCTTTTTTATGAATTTAGATTGTAAGCTCTTTGGGGCAAGGAATTATGTACAGTACAAAAGAGGTGCTCTCTCTATTGCAAATATAAATGTAGACTACTAAATAGTATGGAGTGTGATTCATGAACCCAGCTGGGATGGATGGACAGCAACAGGCCTCTCTGAAACACCTGGAAAACGTTATTCTTTGGACTTTGTCATTGGAAGAGCGTCTCTTCTTGTTTGATTTGCATTTCTTTTGTGTCTCCTAATAATGTGCCTCTTTCTTCATTCCACCTGCTTTGGAGTTGCTTTTTTCTCCATTCACTGCCTATCTTTTGACTGCAGACAAGATTTCCAAAATGCAAAGGTAAAAAGCTGAAAAGCCGCTTTGTTTTGAGCATTATTCCAAGTCTATTCAATGTAAGCAAGTATTTTCAAGTTTTTTGTACTTCACATGCACCTCATTTTCCTTGCAATTGTGATGAACTAGATGATCTCGTATTACTGAAAATGTCTTATGTGGGATAAACGAAGTTGAGGTTATAAAAACTTAAAACTAAAGAAAATAAATTTGCAGCATTGTTTCTTGTGTGACATGTCTCTGTCCCTTATGGATGGGGTGTGCTGTATTTCTCTACATTTAGGGCAGAGTTGAGAATTACTCTTCTGGTTTCAGCTGTGCAGTTTGTGTCTAAATGTCACTTTATGGGTGGCCTAGCCTTAATCACTTTTCCCTAAAACAGTAAAAAATGGTAAATCATTGTGTCCTGACTCCCAGCTCATTCTAGTCTTAGTTTCTAGTGGAATGTAGTTTCATGAAATTGTAATGTGTTGCAAAAGCACATTACTTCCAAGTGAGTAATAACAATGCAGTTCCTACTCTGTGGGGAAGGTGAAAAGAAAACTTGTGTATTTTGAATATTTGCATGCTTATGCAGCCTGATTGTCTTGCCATGCATCTTGATGTTCTAATAATTTATCATACAGATATGCCCATATTTATCATACAGATATGCTGCCTAGAGGAAAACACATGAAAACCAAGGATTTTATTATCTAATAACAAAAAAAAAAATTAATGCTAAGTTCTCTTAATAGTCTTAACAATGAACTAGGAATTGCATAGGAAAGATGTTAATGTGTATATACCAGTAACCAAATGATACAATACAGGGTTGTCCTGATAGGTAGTACACAAGCAAAATATAAACTTCACAGGAGTCTTTGAATTAATTGCTTTTGTTTGGGGATGTGGAGAAGGGAAGTTGAATACTGTGTAATTTCCTTTCAGTAATATTTCTTTTAATTGGCAAAATGGGCTTTAAAGGTGCAATTTCTGCTTTAAAAGTAGATTGTACATTATGTGTACCTAAAGTGTATACTGATTATACACTAGTTGTACCAGGTTGTACATTATTTGTGTTTCAAAGTGATTGTATGGACAGTACTTTTTTCCAGCCTACTGGTATATAGGTATACAATATCTTGCATTTAAATTATTGTCCGAAACAGCCTTTGTTTAGTTATAATACTAAAAAATTGGAATTGTGATTCTATGAAATATGAAGTTTGTGGTCTTACAACTTAAATCCAAAGCTTTAAGAAGACTCTTAGTACTGTTTATCACACTTCACCAGCATACTGGGCAACAGAAATCTAGATGAAATCTACTAGATCTCTGGTAGAATATATTCTTACAGATACCTCTTACAGATATTGATGCATTTAATCTGGAAGCAGCTGAAATTACTCCATTGTTTTGACTGGTCTTGTTTATGACAGGCCTACGAAATTAACAAAACATTATGAATAGTAAAAGCAATTTAAGTTTTGAGTGGTATGTTGATGGAAACCCAAATTTTGGCAATACTGTTGTTGAACCATATGTGGCTGTATTTTTTCCCCGTCTGTGGAGGAGCTCATGGAGCTGGGAGGTCCATCACACTCTGTAATGCACCTACATTCCTTGGTGTATCCCTTAGAGCTGCAGTGGTGCCTTTTGGTTCCTGTCACTTAACCTCAGAGGTTTGACTGCTTTTCTTTCTTTGGCTCAAGTAAGGCTGCATTTAAACTGACAAAGGAAGGGAATGGTCCATGGGGTGGGACCCCCTCTGTGAACACTCACCTAAGGGCTTCTGAAGGCCTAGCATCCCTGACTGGCTATGTCACACTTAGCAAGAAATTTATGTATAGTAAGGAGCTTCAGCAATACATGATTTCTCTGCAGAAGTGAAAGGAAATACTTTGGGAATCCCTTTGTTAACTTAGGTGTGTGTGTGTCATTAAAATGCTGTGAAATTCAGCATTCTACTAAGTGTTTTTTTGCTTTATTTTGCACAGCTTGAGCTGATAGAAAGCTTGGAGTTAGTCAAGGTATGGAAATAAAGGAATTTTGTAGGAAGTTGTAATTCATTGTATTCTGTCAGAAAATGCACAAGTGCCTGCCTTGAGCATGTCACTTGGTTTTTCTGTTACATATCCTGCCTTTGGAAGAAGAGTGGTTGAGTTTATAACAAACCTTTCTTCTAGAGCTTCAGTCCATTGTCTTTCACTGTCCTCATGAAGGAATCTGGTTACCTGCCATCTCATGAGAAGGAACCAAGAGATTATAGAAGAATCCAGAGGTCCTTTTGCTGTAGAAGAGTACCTAAAAGGAACATATTCCCTGGTCTACTGTACACTTTGCATTCAGGATAAAGTATAGTATTAAAGCAAGAACATTTCTGTGGAAAAGTAATTATTCATGTGTCATTTTTTTCAAAATTAAGAGGCTGGTAATTTTGACAGATTCTTTGGTTTTTACCACATTGTGCCCATAGTGAACTTGCTAACCAAAAGACGTGCTAAAATTGATAATGTCTCAGAACTTTTCATTTCAAAAGTACCAATTTTGTCAGTGTTTTTTTTATCCATTTTCCTGTAGCTTTTTAGAACATTGATTTCCTTTTAGGTTTTAAAACTTCCTTTTTGCAAATACTTTCTCTTGTGGAAAAGAATTTTTAAATATTGATTTAAGTGGGGTTGCATTTCAACTGTCCCAGCTCAAAACTGTCCTGATCTGAATTAATCCAAAGTGAGTACTGTCTAATTTGAAGTAGATGTAATTTGGATTATAAGGTAGGATTTTGGGGTTAACATTTTCATGAAGGTGGCAAAGATTTTTGTTCTAATATACACCTATTTTCTTTCACATATGCACTGCAATTTTTAGAGTTCTGTATAAATATTTCTTGTATTAGCACTTGCTTAACTGTTAGACTCTATCTGTTCTAGTGTTTTGGCTTGATGCTGCAATATTGCATTGATCAGGGTGATCAGATAATTTGCAAACTACTCATTCATTCACTCTGGTCCCAGCCTCTCAGTTTGCAGGGAATAGTTCTTGGTTATTTCATATTCTGGTTTTTGTTAGTTTAATATGATTAAAGAGCTGTAAGTTAGCGGTCTCATATTAATACTAGTATTTCTAAATAGTGGAAAAATTATAGTCTATTACAATGACAAATTTTTAAAATTCAAAATTTATATCTAACATCAATTAATAAAACCATAAGGATTTCCTTTTCTTTTGTTTTGTTTTAAACTTATGAGACACAAACTTGAATCCAGGAGGAGGTAAGGGAAAAAGAATTTAATTTCTCAATTATTTGCAATTAATGCATTTTTTGAGACTTGTAATTGCCCATGGGCTTCAAGTGACTGAAGAAAAAGGAGCTAATCCTTGTATAATTCTAAATATATATTTATGTATTATTTTATATATAAATATATATTTATAAATATATATTAATAAAATATATAAAAATATATATTCTGAACAGCTGCTTGCAAAAGGTATTAATGTCTGTCTCTCAAATTAAACGCTCTGTCCTTGCATAAATTGCTACAGAAACAAGATCAAGACATCCAATACATTTGTAAGTAATTTGAAATGTGTTTGAAACAGTAAGCCTAAGCAGTTTGATGTCAGAGCCCAAAAATGGCCAAGAGCTGCCTCTAATATAGAATATTTAAACTGAGATAAAAAGTGTTGTTTGGGACGAGTGTGCATTGCAATGCTGCAATACACTGCACTTGCTTGCACTTGCTGCAATAAGAGCTCTGCTCCTGCATCCAAGTAAGCTGCAAGAATACAATTTGTTTGTATAACTGCAGCTCTACTAAGGACTTTTGCCACACTTGGTATGAGGCTAAGAGATGCTACTTTTTTGCTGCTTGTTCAGAAGTCTGCCTAGAAACAAGGGCATAGTGCTGAAGTGAGAAGGTGCTGTGCAGAAATGGTAATTGTGCAATTATTGGTCAGAGGTGTGTGTGTGGAAAACAAACATCAATCTTGGCTTCACTTTGTGAGAAGCTTGCCGTATTCCAGTTCTTTTAAGCTGACTTTGGATTTCACAACATCACAGGTACATACCCAGCTGCAGGCAGGGACTCCTAGGCACATTTACCAGCATGCAAACTCCTAGAGAATCTTGGCAACGAAGGAGATAAATTGCATAAAGCACAAGAACAACCTAAGGGGAGTACCACTGGGATTACTGGTTTGTAAATCACAGAGATTTACGAGATAGGTGAGGCAGGGAATGTGAGGCTGAATCTGTAGCCAGAGCACTCGGTGGTGGTTAAATGATCCTTCTGTCCCCAGTGTGCTGCAGGCTTGGTACCTCACAATCCAAAACTACATCTTGTGGCTGAAGGAGCCTCTTCAAAAATGCCAAACAAAAGGAATCTTCTATTCCTTGGCCACACACCCACTCTGGGCTAACAAAAGCTTTGCACTCAGGTGGAAGGATAAAGATTCCAGTCCTTGTTCAGCAAGTGTAAAATCAGTGTGGAATCTGAATGTGTTACCTAAAAACTGAATATAAAATAAATCTAGAACCAAAGGCATGGTTTGATCTAAAACCAGCCTGATGTTACAATCATACAGATTTTTTTCCCCCTCTGTCTGTGTACAGAAAGGTGACACCAATTAATAGTAGCCTACTTACAACATCAGAGTAATTACAAAATTGAATATCCTGGATTTATTGAACAGTAACTGTTTACCCAATTTTTTAATTTCTCAGTACTTAATTTATGAAGACTCCTAGTATGCATGCTAGTTTTAATTTGGTGACATTTTATAATTATTCATAGTAATGTAAAAACATAAACTCTGCTAACAGTTGGACAATGCTAAAACTCATCGTCCTAACACAGCCAAACCAAGAGCAGCTTCTGCAAATGAAACATGTATTTAAAACTTTTCACTTTATTAACAATAAATTAATCTGTGGCATCACCAATCAACAAAACACTAAAGATATAGTGAGCAGATTGTCTATGTAATAATCAGAAAGGCAACATTATCACTACCTTCATAAAAACTGGAGAAATGTCAATGAACTTATATACATGTACCATTTGCAACCATATGAACACTAAGCAGAAGAAATGTATTTCCAACTTTCTCCAATTTTTCTGTTAAGTAAGGCAATAATAAAAAGCACAGCATCACAATTAACTACAACTCTAGGTACTGAGCCCTGATATAATGCAGTGCTCAGAGGAATGTGCAAAATAAACACCTGGATTTGCACTTTGATTCTTTGTTGTGTAAAATTAAAAAACAAACAACACAAAGTCACAACTCTTCTTGGTTCCATTGTCCAGAAAAACAAAAGCAAAGCTGGGAGAATCCAGATTGACAAAGATGTTCTCTCTCAGCCCGTAGTACCATTTGGAATATCTTGAGCATCTGCTAAATGTAGTTTTTGGCTGGAGCAGATCATTAAGGAATAACACTTTCACATACAGATAAGGCATAAACAAGACAGCAGTGTTATATGAAACTCTGCTTACTCTCAGATATGCACAATCCAGACAAACTGTTCTGGTGAGTCCTATGCTAGTTCCCCACCAGTAGGTTCATATTCAATGAGACCTGAGCATTACATACCTCCAGCATTAGCCTGTGGATGAAGGGTGATGGCAGATTATTTTTATCACTATTACATATTATTATCACATTCCACTTGTCCTCTTTATGAAGTCTGCTTTAAACAGCTTTCCACAGATATGCAGGGAATGTAGATACCAGTGCAGGATCTTAAGCCTAAAAAACTAGAGCCTCACCTCCTCAATGCATACAAAGTGTGTAACAACAGAAATAACCAGACTGCAGAGTAAACTGAGTGCTACACTCCTCCACTGTCATCCTGGCTTATCAAAAGCACAGTGTAAAAGACAAGCTGAGACATTGAGCTTTATCTTCTCTGTGGGCTAAGAGCACACATTTGTTCAGTTACCTAAGCTCTGCTGAAGTATCTGACCCTAGAAATAAAAATTAGGTCAGTTCACTCTCCACAGTCAATGATAAATGACACCATACATGTTTCTAGAAAAGGCAATAGAATTCACCTACCAGTGGAACAGATGCCTCTGAATATTGTTGAAGGAATATTACTATGCATGTTTGTTCCAGAATATCTCAATAACACCCATGTAGAAAGACCCTGCTGCTGATGGGCTTTGCCACTGACAACACATTATGGTATACAAGTGGTACATCATAGCTAAATATATCACCACATGAAAAAAACAACCTATAATTAGATGTGTTAAGATACGGTCACTTATGTATCAGGAGAACCTAAAAATCAATGCTGTATTATAGCACTAATTTAAAAGCATAGCATCACAATTAACTACAACTCTAGGTACTGAGTCCTGACATAATGCAGTGCTCAAAGGAATATGCAAAATAAACACCTGGATTTGCACTTCGATTCTTCGTTGTGTCAAATTAAAAAACAAACTACACAAAGGCATTTCTGAAGCAATCTTGATGCTTGTCAAGACATCAGTTACTAAGGAAACACACTGCAATTTGACTACAGTTCATAATGCAAAATAAACATTTTAGGGAAAGGATACATAGATGAATTTAGTTCTTCTAGCTGCAATATAAATGTAGAAATTATGAGAAATGGCACTTCTGTTAGTCAAAGAAATGCAATAATTATGCTGATATGCTGAAATAAATACATTAAAACAATGAAGGAAATAATTAATAGTTTGGGCTGAAATGTACGATTACAAATATCAAATCTACACTGAATTCTATACAATGAGCTAAGTTCCAAATTAAGTTTAAATCTGCTGATCGAAAGAAATTTTACCAGTTCTGGTTTTTATGGAAATACACTAGACAAAGTGTAGAATATACAGATCTGTATTCCTTGTTATGTGTCATTTTCCCTAGATGTAGGAGGATGGACCGCAGGGAAAGTGGTCGTAGTTCCCTTGTACATGGGCTGTCCCTAAGCAGGTTGACATGCTCAGGCAGCTTGCAGCCAACCTGCTCCCCTCCCCAAAGCAACCAGCACCTCTAACAAATGAAAACAACGCCTGTGTTTTCTCAAAACCAAGAGGAGGACAGGGCACATCTTGGTTCATTGAAGAGCTGCATTCTCCTCAGCTGTACATCACTGCACACACAGGAGTGGTGTTTTCCTGAACCAAGCTTTGCTGTGGGCTAAGTTCCATGATTTCTGTCTTCCCAGTACTTACATCTGACAGTAGTCTATCCAGGTTGGAATCACTGGCTAGTTTTCTTTTATCTTCAGGGAGTTCTTCCATCTCCCCATAGAGCTCCAGATTGAGGCGAGCAAGTTTCTCCTGCATACTCCGCACGTGCTCCATCTGCTCTATGGAACATTCATTTCCTAAAAGGACAAACAAAAGCTTTATATAAAGAAATTCAAGAGAGAAAATTAAGATATGAAGATGCAGCTTTTTACATCAGAGAATTTAAACATCAAATTTAAACATCAAAGAACATTTGCTTTCTCGATGATTTCTCACTGTTTCCCTATCGAAGTTTCTGTCATCCCATCTGATGTTGTGCTGAATTTACAATGGCTATCCAATGTCCTAAGAGATTTTTAGAATGCAAGTGATTTTTCTATACTCCTGAATTTTTCTCTGATTCAGAAAGGCCCTGGTTTTTAACTTAAAACACAATCACAATAAACCTTCTTTCCAATTCCGATTTATCTGAGGGTTGCTTTTTTTTGGAATAGACGGTTTATGTATTATAAACGTCTCAGGTTCTTTTGTAAAATCTGTGTGGAATTGACACGCTGACCTAACAATAAACTTGCAGAAGTGCACATGCATTTTTCTACTTAGTACAGAGAAGAAAGAAAGCAAAAATGTGTAATGTTTCTTCTAAAACCTCCATCAGCTCTGAGGCTGTAAAAATACTAAGAAGCTAAGACAGAAGACTAACCTGGGTAAAATGCAGCTTGCATTGAATTTCATAAAAGTTGTTACCAATAGTCTTAAATGTTCATATGCAACAAAACTGGGTGCTAAATACAGTTACTTCTTCCTACACTATCAAAAATAAGTGGTTTTAAACTTGGTATCTTAAGGAAAGGTGCTTCTGTGCTGGAAGGAATAATGAAATGGCATATGAATAATCTCGCAACACAGACAACCTTACAATGGGACTGTAATTTAAAAATGCAGTAAGGTGTATTAATTATATTAATTTCATGTGGCAGACTCCAACTGACAGCTAGCAATCTATCCATGAAGCACACTTGTTTGCAAATGTTACCACTGTACAGCTATAAAAAACAACTATTGTACACACACAGTTCCTGCACTTACCAAATGCTTGAAGTTTGCCAGAGTGGAAGTCATTCAAGAGACTCAGAAGACCCCTTTCCATTTCCTGGACATCTGATACATCTGTGAGAAAAGAATGCTGGATTGGTGCTGCCTGTGCCCCTTTAGCTTCACCTCCTGGAGGTTTGGCTTTCTCTTTGATTATGCTAAAAAAATAAATAATGGAACAAAAATATAATTTCCTGCTTTCAGCTTCACTGTAAATTTGAAATGTAAGGAAGTGCACATCTGAGCTTTGAAAATTAAATGGGAAATATATACAGAAAATTTCAGTCACTGTTTTTAAGACAAACACTTAGCAGCTTTTCTTAAAAATAACATCACCATCTCAACATTTTGAATACTGCAAAATGAAGGGTTCCAACAATCTACTTTCCTGCTCATAATAGGAGCCATCAATGGACCACACATCTGTGATGGCCATCAAAGTAATCTGAAGTGGGCCAACATTACCCAGCAGTGACACATAGGGCATTATCACAGAAAAGACCTCTAAGATCATCAAATCCAACCATTAACCCAGCACAGCCATGTTCACCACTAACCCACGTCCCCAGGTGCCACACTCATATTTTTTTAACATTTCCAGGGATGGTGATTCCACCACTTCCCCAGGCAGATATTATCTACATAAAATCACCCAAAATGCATTTGCAAGCCAGAAAGAAACCCCCACAAAAATCATCCTCTCCTCTTGTCACAAACATCTATAGACTGCAACCCATGGGGAAAACAGCTGGTTATAAGCTATGGAAGGTGACCTTGCCTCCACATAAATTTTCATAGGGTTCTTTCTTTCAACCCAGAGATAACATCCCGATTTTGTAAATCTCACCATCAAAACCACTCTCCCACTACTCCAGTGTACCAAATTAAACTAGTCCATGCCCAAACATCAAATTGCTAAAAATTCTCTACACTCCTTCCTGCAAGAAAACCATCAAAATCCCTGGAGCCCATACACTTCTCTCTTGACATAGCATTTATTCAGAGCACCATGTGCCCGTAGAAGCTACATGTATGAAAATTAATAACCATTATAAATCCCCATGAACATATGGCCAATACAGAAACTAAACACATAGGACCAGTGAGAAGCAGCATGTTCCATCTCTGACCCAGAGACAGACAGGCTGCATCCCAATGCAGTTTAGGTAGGAGCCTGTTCTGCAGCCTTATGATGAATCTGTTTGGAACTCGATCCAGTGAAAAAAATCTCAGCCTAAAATTTTTAATTTAGAATACTGTGGGCTATTTTTTTAAAATCACAGACTTAAAATTAAGAGGCTTTATTTAATTAATGAAGATAATGGGGTTTAAAGCATAGTAAGCCCTACCCTTCCTATGCTCTGCAAGTCATAAATTCTCTCTTTCTTAATAATTCTTTGTCCAGTCCAAAAGCTTCTGTAGTCTATGAACATCATATAGACTATATGCAATAAAAATAAACACCAGTCCAACAATCATCATATCCAGTTCAACTCAGAGTAGACATCTCAATTTAGGTTCTGCTTCAATTCCAGACTTAATGGTTTGCACAACAGACAGGTCATTCTTTTTTCCCACCCAATTCTGATGTTTAGTAAAATATTCTATTAGTCTTAGGAAACTTCCTTCATTGGATTCTTGCAGATGAAGTGAAAATTAATTAAATACTTTTACTCCATTATGACAACAGTAGCTCATCCTCACTTTTATTATGTCAATTACCTCTCCTGCTTAGAAAGTTCAAACAATTGTCTGTATTAGCACTGCTTGGTAAATTTAACAATTGTGCAAGAATGGCCAGAACTTAAAGCAAAAAGGACATTTTTTTCTCCAGACAGTCTTGTGGACTGCAAGAAATTAATTTCTAGTAAGTCCTAAGAGAATATTGAGACTTGAATAGACTGTTCAGTCAACTGCAGAAGCCACCAATTTATAGCACATTAGTATTTACTAATATTTCCCTCTAAGTATTAACACAGTTTTCCTGAAAAATAATGTATAGACTTTACATTGAAGAAATTCATTATTCATCAGGCCAATACTGCAGCCTTCAAACAGACTCTGTGCTGATGCTGACAGTTCTGTATTTAATCTTGCACTAAAACTCAGAGGTCAGTAAAGTCTGCTGCCCCTCTCCAGCTAACATTTCACTTCAAAATCCCTCTTCATTTATTTATCTACTGCGTCTGCCACAGCCAAGAAACACATTTTTTAACATGGAGGTAAATTAATGTTCTCAGACTGAAACAGACATATCATCAACAAAACACAAACTATTCTGATGTGAACTGAATTCTGAGCTGAATGTCTCTCTTTACGCAAGACGCTGCCCCAACTGAGAGGTCTCCAATCACCAAACACCTGGAAATTCCAGTTCCAGCTCATCCTGTTCAATTGCTATCCTTCATTTCCTGCTATACTTGTCAGTTCCAACCTTGCAGTCATGTAATACTTCATTTGTTGCTCAGAGCTGTACAACTGGGGCTCTACTATCTCCCATACGATGCCCAAATTTGATCATCCAACTCGTGTCTTTCACCAGTCACATCAGGCTTCAGCTAAATTGTTGTCAGTATGAGTCTACAGCATTGTGTAACATTTCATTAAACTTACAAGAAGAGTGTAAAACACCTTCCTTTGCTGTAAAATAACCATTATATTGCAGTAAACACAAATCATGTTGCTGAAAGACACACCATTAAAACTTTTCACAAGTCTGAAACTTCTGTCACAGCCAGATTAAACAACCTTTAGACTGTCTTAGCATTGCCAAGTTTCTAGGTCTCAATCCCTCTAAGTCTGCAAATGCCCCGAGCTTACCGTTTTAACTTTGGTTTTTGTACTGCAGGCTGTGGGGCAGGGTTGGAAAAGGCTGTACTTTTACTGACTGGCACTGAGCTTTTCTTGGAGTTAGCAACCTGAGCAGAGTGACTGGAAGATGATTTGGGGCTCCTCCTCTTGATTTTCCTTTCTTCCATTTCTTCCAATTTACTGCATCTAGACTAATGTCTTGTCCTTCACAAGGAAGAAAGTGATAAACATCCATTAAAACTGGCATTCACAACAAAAGCAAGTGTAAAGACATCTCGTGGAAATGAAACTTGTAGTTCCTTCAGAGATGAGCAAGCACTCATTTCTGAGAAAAAGTGAATCCAGTTTTTAGGAGAAGCTGCCGGGCCTGCTTGATCAGCGAAAAGGGCAGGTACTAAAACCTCCATCAGCCAACAGATACCTCCAAATTATCTCAAGCACTGTGTCCCGTGGATTACGGCTAGGAAACACCACGACTGCTCGAGCCCACGGTAGGCAAAACACCAAGTGCTATGGCCCGGGGATGTTGTGACCATCCGCGCCAAAGAACCTCAGAACCTCCTCTGCTGTGGGGAAACTCAGCCGATGCCGAGCTGTTGTTACCGCTGTGCCACACTTGTTATTACTATTACAGCTCTTGGTGTTACACTCTTGTTGTTTCTGCCGTGGCACAGCTACGCGGGGGCCCTGCCCAGCTCGGCACACACAGCCCACCCTGTGTGCGGTTACCGGCGCTCACTCGCCCCCTCCTCGCCAGGGAAACGCGTCTGACACCCGTCACACCCCGGAGCCGGCCGAGGGCGCGGGCGCGGCGACACGACGCACCGGCCGCCACCTGCCGGGATGAGGAGACCCCTGGGGCAGCACGGGCAGCGCGGAGGCTCGGGGCTGTGGCCCGGGAGCAGAGGGAACGGAACGGAGCCTCCCTGCGCGACCCCTGCCCCAACCCGCAGGCCCCGCCCCCTACCTGGGGAGCCCCGCCCCCGGAGCGCGCGCGGACCCCCGCGGAAGCGGCCGGCTCGTCCCGGCGAGCGGGTCACGTGACGGCGGCGCGGCCCGGTTGCGCCGCGAGGTGCATTGTGGGAGTCCCGCCCCAAGCCACCACCTCCGCCGCGGGCGGACTACAGCTCCCAGAACCCCCCGCGGCGGGGGCGGGGCTGTGTAGTGAGCCGTGCCGGCGTGGGGTGGCCGTCACGGCCGAGGGTTGCGCCCGAATTATCTGATCCAAGTACTCACGTGATAAAACACACGGGGAAAACTACCGCACTACCGATCTGCTCCTTTTCCCAGCTGATGCCGTGCGGTAGCGCTCTGCCTTCTCCTCTGCTCACTCCATCTCCTGCTCATAATTACACTCCAGCCACAATCAGCTCGATACAGAAAAGGCCTCATCTACTTCTGCTTTTTAGGACTTCACTGAGCACCGGGCACCTCAATTAATGTTTTACACTGTATGGAAAATCACAGGGTCATTAGGGTTGGAAGAAACTTCTGGAGATCATCCAGTCCCACCGCCCTGCAGGGTCACCTGGAGCAGGTGGCACAGGAACACGTCCAGGTGGGGTTTGATGTCTCCATAGAGATTCCACGGCCTCCCTGGGCAGCCTCTTCCAGTGCTCTGCCGTCCTCAGTGTAAGGAGGCTCTGCCTCGTGTGAAGGTGAAACTTCTCGTTTGACTCAGGGACCTGACTCATTTGTAGCCTTTGTGACTTGTGTTTATTAGCAAAAGTTTAGAGCCAGTTGAGCTGTGCTTATAAAGGTGGGTAACTGAGCCCGCTGGGAAATTATCCTCAGATGTTGCAAGGCATCGCCATCTCCAGATAGGTCAGCAATAGGAATTCTCTCTAAGAGGACATGCTGGAAGAATTCAGTGTATTCACATGGAGCTATATGGGCTAGGAATGCTGGAACAGCAAGTTCCAGACAAGAGGACATAGTATTAAGCTGAGCTAGGGCAAGTTTAGGTTGGACATTAGGAGGAATTTCTTTACAGGAAGGGGTGACTAGACATTGGAATGGGCTGCGCTGGAAGGCGGTGGAGTCACCGTCCCTGGAGGCTGTTAAGGCGAGACTGGACAGGGCACTGAGTGCCACGGTCCAGTTGACAAGGCGGTGTTCGGTCACAGGTTGAAGTCGATGAGCTCAGAGGTGTTTCCCAACCTAATCGTCCCTGTGATCCCGCAGCCCTGGAGGGTGAAGGCTGGGAGGAGAGCGGAGCGGTCGGCAGAGGGGCCGGGCCCGGGGCGCTCACTCGGGGCCGTGTCGGTGCCACCCGCGGTGACACGGGCGGGACGGCCCCGGCAGTGCCGGTGCCCGCCCGCAGGGGGCAGCGCCTCCCCGCGCTCCGGCCGCTCCTCTCCCGCCTCCGGCTCTCCCTGCCCCGGCGCCGCGCGTCGGGAACGGGTCTCACGCACAGGGAGGACCCATCCTCATCCCCGCGGCAGATGTGCCCCGAACGGCTATCGTCCCAGCTAAACGAGGAACCCTGCTGCCACGCGGAGTTGGATGCAGCTCTCAGTGTCATTTCCGACCTGGATTTCAGTCCTGAGTCGTTGGCTTGCAGGAACTTAATTTTCAAGGCAGGCAGTATAATTAGCAGGGTGTGCCTACCTAGCCTGAGTAATTAACGAGTTCAGCCCCACCAAGGCTATTTCCTGGCGCTGTCGCTATTGCATTTCTGGTCATCACATCTCACCCCAGTGCCCCCTCCCAATCATGGCTTTGTGGACTTGAATGATCGGCACACCTTTCCTATCCATGGCTGGTAGCCTGAGCTGTTTTCCAGATTCTCCAGTCGTACTCTGATACTGAACCTTCTTATGGACCTTGAATGAGACTTGAGACGCTATTAAATAGCAGTGTGTCGTTGTGACTTAGATGGGATATTACAGTTGTGAGACTCAGTGGCCACTTTGACACCCAAAAGGGGAGATTATCTGTCAAACGGAAATTGCATTTGAAGTGATTCTCCGGTGAATTACAGGGACCAAATGTCCACTGAAGGTGTACCTACAGTCAAAGCAATTCCTCGCAGCGGGAAGCAGTTTGGGTCTGAGGAACTGGATCAATTCTGATACATTATGGCCAGTGCTGTTGCAAGAGGTGATAGACCAGAGATACACTGACAGCTCTCTTGTGGGAATAAACGGCCTAGGGGTGTTTGCATGTAAGCAACTGAGAAGAAAGGAATTAATCTCTGTAACGCTGGAGATTACACAAAAAGGCAGTGGTATAAGACTTAAGGGACAGGTAGAGAAGCTGAAACAGTTGATTCTGAAATACAGACGGCTTCTGATATCTGGTTTGGCATGCGTTACAGGGAAACAAGAGCTAGCAAAGTCACGTAGGCTGCGAGCCAGACACACATTCTCAGTCACAGGGCTGCCCAAGTAGAATCCTCATTTGCACACATACGTATATGTCTATGCATAAATATATAGGAGGCTACAAACAGCGGACAAATTGAGACTTACAGGCAGAGTTCTGCAGGCATTTGGGAAATTTGTATGAGATAAATACTGTTTCTGCATGGTAGCTTTGGAAATGTTTGTATTCATTCAGCTCATTTCACACGTGCTATATGAGTAAGTAAATGTACCCGCCTTGCAGTTGGTATTTAGAGGTGTGGTTTGTTTTTCCCCGTGTGATTAAAGGTGTTCTGTTTGACACTTTGGATGGAAGGTGACTGAGTGTCCATTGTTTCTACCAAAGCAGTTGAAATAGAATGACTGATGGTCTGTTCTTAAATAAAGGAGACATTTTTTCCCCACTAAGCAATTTTAAAATAAAATTACTTTCATATTCAGGGAGCAGTTGGATTCCACAGTTAACCCTGCTCCAGTTTAGTGCCTCAGTAGGAGGGATCAAATACTACAGAAAAGACAATCAATTTTAGTATGCAGGTAATATTTTGCTCCAAGTGAATTTCTTATCCCTCCACACTACACCACATTAGAATTATTATTAAGGTGCCTCTGTTATTTTTATATCTGATTTAGCAGAGCCTATAGGGGCAGATAATTGGAAAACATCAGACTTTATGTTTTCATAGAGAAAGGAATTTTATAGGGAATAATTAATTTCTTTTAAAAGATAATAGTAAGAGCAAAGAATCAAAGGTAGTGTGGTCTTGATTTGATACTAGAAATCCTATTGCAGATAACACTGTTGCCTATAATCAAATAAAGTTTGAGGGAGAAGAAAGGCATGTTTTGGACTATCTCTATCTGAGCTTTTGCATAATTTTGTATTGTGATAATGATTCATGGTCCAGAAAAGGCTTTTTTCTTCCTTTAAAAGGCTTTTTCTGACAACTCCACCATGCATTACAGTGGTAGCATTTGTATGTGCTTGTTGACTGAAATGCTCCAAGGATAACAGTGTTTTTAATGACAACAATGTTATTGTTAAAGCAGCAAATTAAAACGTTAATTGAATCTGATTTTATTTACATGTATATCTCCTTACAAACTAGAGGCCCACCTTTGAAGATGCTTTGAAGAAGAACTTCAAAGAAGTTAAGTCTGTACTTTGTATTGAGATATGCATGCAAATAAAATCAGATTCTTCTTTCTGAAAACCCTATTCAGTTAACATGAGATCTCAAGTCAGTTCCAAAGACTTCCAAGACAGTGATGAAAGCTTCATGTTCTTTAGGTTCTATAATTAATTTCAGATGTATTTCACAGTTCAGCACCTTGTACTTGTGGAATCATGACATTGCTGTAGCATCACCTTCCGAAAAAGAGCGTGGTCTGGGACCTGTCTGCCCATAGGAAGGAAAGTACTTATTGCTGGTTTATGAGGAGCAGCAGGGTGTGTATAACAAGGTGTGTATGTATCTATCAGCCAGATAAATGTGCAGAACAAAGCAATAAAGTTGATATTATACATATAATTAATTACCATCAGATTAATATGGATGTAGAATTGAGTGGGTTAGACACATGTATTCTTTACAGATTGAAGACTGACATGTCCTCAAGAAATGTGACTGAAAATGTGTCAACATGTATACTTACATTGTATCTATCTCTCTCTCTCCCCACACTATCATTATGCTAAGTGAAAGAATATGATCATATATAAGTATTTAGATTTATGTGTTATTGCTGATCAGTTTCCACATCTCTAACATGAATAGTCCATTGAAATCAGTGCTGTTACACAAGAACAAGCAGTTTAAAACCTCCACCAGTACTGTG